GCCGCCGCCGCCGCAGCCACCGGCGACGCGGCCCCGGGAGTGGGTGCCACGGGTGCAGCCGTGGGCACTGCCACACCCGGTGAGGCACGTCCGGAGGGGCCAGCAGGCGCGACCTGGAGATCGAAGGATGACCTAAATCTTTCAGTAGTTAAAGGTGTTTGCATGCGTTTGCAACATGAACCTTGTCACAAAGACTTGAGGCTTTGCAAGTTCAACGGGAGGTGTCCCACAAAGTTGGAGACGCTCTGCCACAAACCTTGGAGAGGCATCTGTCTTGGTACCAAAATCGAGCTCCCACTCTCCACCCACCGTCGCCTGGGCAGGTGCACCTGCAGTCACTCCAGAACCACCCCCCACAGCGGCGTGGGTGGCTCCGGCAGGCGCACCCGAAGCGCCTGTCCAGCCACCCGTCCGAGCAAGAGAACAAACCACACACACATGTAGCGAAAAGCACAAGCACAAGAAAGGGGTTTGCAAAGGAAAAGGGGTGGGGATTTTTGGGAGAGATCGGATTTCAATGGCGTGTCCACCCGGATCACTCGATTCCGCTCACCCGGATCTCATTCAGGCTGGCCACAAGCAAGGCGAGCGGGATGCGTTTGGAGCGGGGTTCCACAGTCCACCCGACACTCCACACACTGGTTGGGTTGAAATGCAATCTCTTTCTATAGCCATTGAAATCGTCAACCACCATCATGATCGAGGCCTTCACTTTTGGACAATTGTATCTTTGATGGCACCCATGACTCGTCTGAGGATCCTTTCGGTAGACCACATCAGATATATCATGATCGAGGCCTTCACTTTTGGACAATTGTATCTTTGATGGCACCCATGACTCGTCTGAGGATCCTTTCGGTAGACCACATCAGATATATATATATATAATATATATATATATATAGGACAATCAATATTATATAACTATATTCAGAAGTCTATTCAAAAGGATTTGCTGCAATAGCATCGCCCCCCGAAAACCCACCCCCTTGACCCCGCTGTCGCCTCGGGTGGCATCCACTGGTTTCACCACCTCAGATCCGCTGTGTGACGGCGCTGCCAATGCCAGCAGTGAGTAGTGATAGGGTCCCGGCAACTCAAGTAAAAAATTGTGTGTGTGTGCTTTTTAAGGCAAACGTCATGAGACTGGCTGCTTGCATCTGCTTGCCCTAGCATGGCTTCATCTGCTTGCCCTTGACAACCTGAGCCTAGCCTTCCCTCGTTTTGGGGTCGCTCCGCAGGCACCAAGGACCGGGCCGTGGCCACGATCATGGGCTCCTGAGGCCTCGGAGCGATGGTCACCAGATCTCAACGGTGATGGAGAGTGGTGTTCAGTCGAATCGTAGGAAGAAAGATCTGGAGATATCTGGATCCTACTTATATATACGTGTTTATGTGCTTGTTTTTGCTCTTTAGATTGTTTTGTGGTTGGTTTACAGTATTTGTTTATGATATTCCATGGTCTACTGTTTGGGCAACCTCCAGGCGTTCATGCTCCAGGGCTTTAACATGTTCCAACTGTCCTACCCTCAAGCTTCGGAGTCTCGGCGAGCCGCCCTTTTTGCTATCTTGATTCTGAGGATGGCGTTTTCTGATGCTCCTGACTCATGATTGTTCCAAGTGAACCGGCTGGGTACCTCAGCTCCAGGTACCACCCCATGCGCCCACGTGCGGAGGTGCGGGCATCGCTCTGAGTGTGGGGCGCTCGGTAGCCACCTCGAGCTTTGGCCGGAGACCTCAAAGACTCGGCGCCAGTCACGTGGCCAAACCGAATGGGGGATGCGACTTCAGCAGCCCCAAGCGGTGGGGCTAACTGTCTGATTGTGTTGTTGTTTTTCTATTTTTTTGGGGGCGGGGTAAGCCTTTTCCATCCTTTTCCCCACATCTTTTGTGTGTGTGTGGTTCTTTCTTTCACCGTACATTCCGCCTCCTCCGCCTCCTCTCACTTAGACTTGCAGCAACACTTTCACTCACACAAACTCAACTCACACCAACTTGCACTTGTCACTTTCACTCACTTGCTCCTCCCCATGCATTTCCCGTCGCGCTTTGCTTCTCGAAAGACCTCAACGTGGTCGGCTGTGGTCGGCTGGCAGCTTCCCACCCACCCACCCACCCACGACTTGTTATGAACACAATAGCTTGACATGTGCGGTTATCTGGTCATGTAATTAGTTTTCCCAAAGAAGAAACTGCATGCTGTCTCAGAATGAGCTTGTAGCCTCTTCACCTCCTCAGAAACGCTTAAGCTCTAATGGTTAGATATTTATTGGAAAGTCACCACTAAAGCTGAACGGATTCGAGCTCTTTCTCCTTCAACGACTCATCCAGACCTCTCCGGTCGGACCGAACGACTCGTCTTCGGCCGAACGACTCCGACCGCACTGGCGCGTCGCGACCGGAGGCCGAGTTCGAAGCGAAGCTCTTCGCTGGTGGTTTGAAGTTGAGCGATCTGACCGTGGGTCGCAACTGCCAAGCAAGCCTTTCAAGAGATAAGACATGGTACAAATTCAATATAGAACATACTATACAATGGGTCATGTCGGGGTCAGGGCGAATGCCAGACGAAGGTGAATACCGTAGACCGTAGCCCAGTGTCTTCTTCCCACCTTCAACCTCTCTGGGCTCTTCGGCTGTTTGCCATAGACCTGTGCAAAGTATGCCGCCGGCGCTGGGGCCAGGTCCACCTGGCGCTGGCGGAGATCGTTAAATATCTCATCAAAGCCTCGTGGAAGAGAGCTCCTGGGAATGAAGCACAGAGGCAGGGTGGTTTTGACAGAACCTCAGGTCCAGGTGTCACAAGAGATCATAATATGTCCATGATTTTCATGATTTTCCATGGGTGGTTTTTGATGGATAAACCGGGTTTCTTACGTGTCAATGTGTGTCGATCGATTTGAGAGACCCACATGTGATCGGCTCCCAAAGGCTTTGGTTTTTGGATATTGAGGATTGATGGAGCAGAGCGGGGTTGTTCCGGTCTGAAAAAGACATTTACTCCTAGAGCGACTTGAGGCATTTGTATGCATTTGTATTCGCGGTCGTCGACAAGGTCACCAATTCTAGATTCAATAGAGGTTGCGAGATACTAATCTATTAAACACACTGTATATACATGTTCCTGGTGCCAAACTCACATTCTGGTTGAAAGGACAAACCATTGAACCCTCGGGATGAAGTCCCCCTTGTCAAGCACACGTGTCATCAATCACCCCTTGCTCACAATGATTTGCCGCACCCGGTCAACCTCCGCAGGGAAACGCACACCGTCAATTCCCACCAAAATCCTGTTGCACCCAGCTTACTCTGTGCCATCATTTCGGTCGGTTTGGCGCCTAGAAAAAAGAGCCGTCAGTCTTTTCTGTGCGGAGAGGACCGGCAGAGAGGACAGGCGTGGAGGCCAGGCCGGACAGGCGAAGGAACCTTCAGTTCCGGGGCAGTGACGGAACCGGCTCGCCCTTGGGACCGTTCACCCCATGACCCACCAACCCATCCCCAAATCCAGCGCCCCCAAAAACGCCCGATGGAAAGCAAACCAAAGCGACCGCCAACCACGTCTTCACCCCCAAAGCTTGGACGTCTTCCCCTTCGACACCCGGACACGCGCTTGCGCGAACCAGGCCTGGGCACCGGTGGCGGCCAGCTTCACCGCTTCTGCAAAGGCCACCTGACCTGTGAGGAGCACCTGATTCGCCCCAAGTCGCGACCCGCGAAGATTTGGACATGGCCTGTGACGACTTCTATCTTGATTAGTGGATGTGGCCTGCGGCAGGTATGAAGATCTTCTTTCTGAACATAGGATTGTTTGTTAAGATGATAGCATTGTGAAGATCATCTTTCTTTGCGAAGATCATGTTCGTTCGATCATCTTTCTGTGAGACTGTTAAACTACCAGAATCTCAAGGATAGCCATGTCAGAACATAGGATTGACTGGAGAGTCCACCAAAAGCAATCCATTCGCACCATTCTTCACATGTCACACGCCTCGAGCTTGGCCAGCTTGGGTTCACGGAGGACTTGGCCCAGCATCGTTCCCAAAACCTGCGGCCAGAAGAGAGCGGCAGCCCTTCTGGCAAAGTCTTGAGAAATCAGAGATCTTCAGAGACGATCTTTACGTGATCGTGATCCACGGATCTGCGCCAAGTCTTGAGGGCTCTTTGACTCATGATTTATTTTTGCGGATTTGGAGTGCATCTCAAATAGTAATAAGATGCCCTCTGGCAAGGATGTTCATTGCCATCCAAAAAAAGGAATCCACTGAGGTTCCGAGGCTTTATTGGGGTTGACCGTCGACCATATCAGTGTCAAGTAGGTGTCTCTGCGGCCCCGACTGGTACAAGCAAGTAACAGTCAGAGTGGAAGTGAGTCTTGGCACTTCGTTCCAATCGACAGTACTAAATTCAATAAATACATACAAACTCCTCCTACAAACCAGTCAAATCTGCCTGGCAAATGATTTCTTTGGCTACCCTTCACCCACGCCCACACCGCCTGTGGGTCATTCCCGAAGACACCGCAGCCCACATCGGGGCACACCAGCACCTGGCAGGCCCACATGTTGGGTCGGTGCATGCCCGTGGGTGCCGCAGTTGACTTGGAACCTCTGGATTCCCAACTCCCATCATGGACCATCACTTGTCATTCCCCGGGATGGACATCTACTCCCATTTTACTTGGAACATCTTGGTCATCCATCCTGAACCATCCTGGACCACCAAGGGCCGGAAGACGATGCTTCATCTACCCCGCTCGGGAAGACCGTGTTCCCCGCTCCGATGTTCTTCTCAAAAAATCACCCTTTCAGCGATCCAACTCCACACCCGCAGCGAGGGTGCTTCTCTTCGGGACATCACCCAGCACCATGTCCTTTCAGCGATCCAACTCAACCATGTCCTTGGGGAACGCACAGACTTCCGCAAAACCCACCCCCAGGTTCGCGCGCCCAAAAAGAAGACTAGCGCCTCTGCGCCCATCTCCAGTGCGGCAGTGGCCACGGAACGGAACTTCAGCTTCACCTGCTGCGTGGACCCGGCTCCCATCGGCACGACCCGGTGCAGCCGTGACGGGTCGAAGACACCACCGAGATGTCAATAGATGTCAATAAGCAAAACGTAGGGGATTCTCGGAAGGGAACCTGGAGAATGAATGGGGATGCCGAGCCTCCTGGAATTGGATGACCCATGCTGGTTCGTCTGGGCCAAGTCAGTTGCCCTTTGTGGTTTGCAGGGGTCACCCTACATTCAGGTGAAAAAAACATACGACAAACCCATCAACTCAGAGAAACGCCCAAAGAAAATGGTCCGCATCATCCACAAGACAAGCCCTGCAGACCTTAAGCGGGAAAGTAACACCTCTTTCCATCTCTCCGCCAGTCCAGCGGCGCCCCAGTTCAGCTGCCTGGTGGCAGTACGTCTTGAAATCTCTGGGAGCATCCAGCGGACTATCGCTGACCCGTGGGTTCATGTTGAACATGGCGACACCTCGGCGTGTGGCGGAAGGGTTCAACCCTGACCCAAAAGGATCAAAACACTTCAAACAGGGATTTGTCAACAATCAAGGCCTCTTGTTTTTTAATATGCCAAATTGGACTCCACTGGTGCTGAAGATGTCCCTATTGCACGTCCGGGTGAGGGAAAAAGCCACCACCGTCCAAATGTTCATTAAATGATACTTCGATAGTTCCCCAAGTCACTCAAGAATGTCAGGGACTTCGCGATTCCACCTTGGTGAAACACATTAACTACGTATAAAAGTGTTGTTGCAGAGGAATGTCCATAAAGGGTCCTTCTTCGGCCGAAATTAAAGGAGGCAAGTGAGTGAGTGCCCAAAACGCTGGGAAACAAAGAGTACGTGCAACAAAATAGCTATTTGGGGGCCCTCTCACCTTTTTCGGACCCCAGCCACCATCATATCGGTTGAACCAGCTTTCGGCCAACCTTCTACATCTCATGATCGCTCTAGACTCTAGACTACATTGCAATCCAAGCAGCTACACACCCCTTGCAGCTTCACAGGCGACCTGGGCATCCGTAACGGACGGCTCGGCACAGGGGAATGGTGGGATTGGTGAGAACCCCAGTGGTAAAACCACTGTGGTAGAATGTATGCGTGTCACATGGTTGAATGAACGATAGCTTGGGGGGGTCAAGGTCGCAAATCCATCACATAATATATATATATATATAAACAAAGTGCACCATGGATACAACTTGAAATCAACAAAACCGGTTGTGCGCTAGTTGCCAAGCCTAGGATCTTAAAACCATTACTGTATATTATATATAGTACATCATGTCCATCCATGCTGTGACTTGCAAACTCCGGCAAGCTTTTCAATATTTACTTAAGGATGACAGAGCACAACCACGCCCAGGGTTTTTTAGTGCTACATCTGTGAAATCGGCAGGCAGGGTTCTCTGCCAGATCGCCATTGTACATGCGATTCCATCGCTTGAGGATGAAACTCTTTTGTGCGTTCATTTTGTCACAGATGCACCTGGTGTTTTTTTGTATGGAGGCACCAGTGTCCACCACACCGTCGACGCGGCATGCGCGACCGTTCGGTGCTTTGGGGTGATGCGTCTCCGCGAAACACAGACCGGTGCACGGTGCTTCTCCGCGCGCGACCGGGTCCCTGCTCAACAAGGCGTCCCAGACCTGCCACGTCCCAGACCTGCTCCCGATCTGCCGGGGTGCGCTAAGAAGCCGTAGCCGTCATTGCTACCTTCTCGGAAGACCTGCCAGGGACGATCGGTGCAGTTGGGTTGACCCACAAGGCCCAAGGATGAACGGATGAGAAAGCACATCCCTCTAGTTTGTCTAAAGCTAGTTCAGCTTGAAACAGCTTGAACCCTTATCCACGTTGGCTTCTGGACTTGGGAAACCTCCAAAGCCAAAAGATGCTGGTTCACTTTGGAATCAAAGGCCACAGGGTTTTGCGGGGATGGTACAACGCATGCCATGAAGATTGGCATAGATCCGCAGTGGTACTTCTTCTGCCAGACTGAGTGATTTGTTTGTAGAAGCCTAGTTCCCTTTGCCAGGAAGCCTAGTCCGCTGAAGACTTTTGGACAGTGGAACTGATTACTCCAGTTAGATGTCACAGACTGAAGAGCTAGTCCTGCTTCCGTGCCACCGTGTTTTACACCATCAGTCAGTGCCGTGACCTCTTTCCGGTCTCCGGCACCAGTCCCACCCGACACCTCCACGAAGGGGCTCAAGATACAGCCGTCCACAGGCACATGCGCGTGAAATGCCTCAGGGTCGAAAATGCCAACGACGACAAAGGATGTGTTCTTTTTGAAATGGGAAAAGACACATCATATTGGCTTTCAGGTGTGGCTGGGCTAACATGCTCGAGAGAACTTCTCGACTCAAACCTCCGAGGTCGCCCTTCTCGCGAGAACGCTCTCGTGGTCGACACCCGCTCGCCGTCGGCTGTTTCGACGGGTGGGCCTCGGCCTCATGCCAGTGACCTGGCGGGTTGCGCAGGTCGCATGGCAATGGGTTCCTCATTCCGAAGGTCCTGGTCCTCTCCCTTGAGGGCTCAAAACAGCGATGCATCCTTAAGTATTGCAGTCATTATTGTAGAAAGTCTTCTTGACTTGAGGCTTAATTACAGGTCTTTCTACCTTTGTTTTGTGGTCTTCTGATAGATCGAAGTGGGGATGGCTTTTCTTCTGACCCACAAACCAGTTTTTTTCTGGACCTACAGCCTGTGTTTTTGGGTCCACAGGTCCCCACGATCGAAGTGAGTTCCACCGGTTCCACGCGTTCCACGGGTTCCACCACGCGCCGCCTCTCTCATCAGGCTTCTTTTCCTGCAAAAAAACAAAAAGTGTCCCAACTATTCCCAAGTGGGTGTGTTTCAAAGATCTGTTGTTCCTCAATGAATGTCTATTCACTTCAACTTATTGGTCCACCGTCACAACCCCCCAAGGGCGGAATTTGGGGCGCCTCTACGAATCTTCCCCTTGAGCCCTTGCGGTCTCTGTCTCAGGAGGTGTTGCCAGGTCGGGGTTCTCACCGGTTAGGGGATTCGGTCGCCCACCGTGTCCCAGTGCGACGGGTCGAGTCGGCAAACCGCGTTTATTGCTGGACTGGATCCTGAAGAAAGCTGCTTAGCAAATCCAGTCCCTCAAGTGTCCAACCACTTCCAGATGTCAAGAATCTCAACTATAAGTATACTTATATGTAACAAACTACCTACCTAATCCTACCTACCCCTCTACCCTCTTGGCAAGAGAAAAAGAAGAAACGCAGCAAAGAAGCGACCCAGTTGAGAAGAAACGCGTGGCTCCTCTGGAGTCTGCAGTTGATCCTCAGAACAGACAGAGATGAAGGAGTCTCCAACGGACGAAGGAGAATAGGACTTGCGAGTATCGCTGCTCGGACAAAGTCTTTTGAACAAGTCCCCCAAATGGCTTCAGGATGGTTCAGGAGTCCTCTGAGAGCAACCAACCACAAACAGCAGTTATATATGTGGCGTGGAAAAAAGCAGAAGCCCTCACCCTGGGGCGCGTGCCCATTGTGCTTTCTGCAAGGAGGCCAAAAGCGTGCTCGTGATGCAGCAGGATTCCTGGCAGTAGAAAGCACCGAACCAACCATGGCTTACTCATGAGGTGCCAGTGGCTTGGTGTTTTGCATCGGCTCTGGGGGCCTTTTTGGCCCAAAAACCGCTGACCAACGGCGATTCCGGTGTCCTCCAGCGCATGTCGGCCGCCGCTCATGACCTGGGATCCGGGGAACAAGACCGTGAACCCTGTTCCAGGCTGTTTAGGAAACCCAAATCCAGCCTTCAGAAACCATGAAACGACCTGCAGAAACCTCCAACCAAATCCCCCGCAAAACATGACCTTCCACCCAAATCCGATGTCACGTCGTCTTCGTCCGCGTCGGTGCCCGACTCACAGCGCCGAGGCACGCCACCCCCGACGGAGTAGGCCGAGGCGGCGTTCACGGCCACGGCCTTGCGGCCCTCTTTGGAGACCTCGCGACGGAGACCACGGGTCACGGTCGGTCCTATAGGATAGAGTAGAGTCTGAGTAGAGGTACGGTAGCACCTGGGGTTCAAGATGGGCAACGCCTCAGCAGACAAGTGGTTGAATGGTATTAGGGGTCCAAAAACGGTTGTATATCAGACTTTGTATAAGTGAGTTCGTTTTTTGGAAGGAGATTTACATAGTTTTACAGTACCCTAACAAAGGCTCTGATCCACACTGACTGGGTGTTCTGTGATGCCAAAATCCGGCCTTGACAGCAGCATCGAGGACAGTGAGGCCATCCTGCATCAGTCGTCCAGCCAAAGTCTTTGACCAAGAAACGGACCAAAACTAGCGGCCATCGCGGCCATGTGTATGCGCCCACGAAAACGATCAACTGAAGGCAAGAAAATATTGCTATGCTCCACTGCAGGTGGCTCGCTCAGTGCTGACACCAGATGTCGAAGGCATCCAGATCTCCCAACTCCAGAACCATGACAGGACGTCCCATACTCTCTCTCTCTCTCTCGATCTCTCTCGCGCAAGGGGGTGCCTGATCATAGACCACTTTGGGCACCGCACTACTGGCCTGGCATGCCCGAGTCGGTGGAGAAATGTTCGAACATCGGCGCATAACTGGAAGAGGACTGCGGAGGGTCAAGGGCTAGACACTCTGCTTTCCATTGTTTTCCAATGGGCTCAACTCAACTCTCAGATTCTCCAAGTTGATTCCACAATCCTCTATTTGCCAGCCAATGCCCGTCGGATGAAAGGATGAAAGGGCCTTAGCATCTTTCTTTCGAACCCAAATAACTCAAAATGGACCAGATTCTGACCAGATGCCGATTCAAATGGCCGATTCAAATCATCGAAAGGAATTCAATTTCTAAGACATCACACCAACAAGGCCCCCGGTGCACCTCTGCAGCTCCTGCAAAACCATCACGTGAAAAATTGATTTTCGAAAAGTGGCAGGTCGTCACTTGGCTCAGTCAGTGGTGGGAAGTTACTGGTACACTTGTGGTTGTACTACAAAGACTTAGACGATCATTACTGCCCAGGTCTTAGCCGAGTAAAATGTCGGGGCCAAGGGTTGAAATTGATATTCTTCCTGCCGATAAATCCGAGTCATGGCCGGAAAAAGTGTACCTGGCATTCAAAACATCTTTGCGTCCAGTGTCTGGTCCAGTTGAACACTTGTTCATGAGGCGAGAAGTCCAGTGGTACACAGGTCGACTGCACACAGGCCCACCAGGCCCACAACACTGCCCACAACCAGTCCTGGTGCATCTTCTGGTGCTTCGGCTGCCCGGTGTATTCGTGTCCCGTCCAGCCTCAGGTCGCACGCCGGTCCCCATGCCACCCAGGACATAGCCGCTCCCGTGCCACCGCGAGTCGCTAAGCCCCCGGGCATCGGCGCCAGCGTCAGGGCCTGTGACGGCTCGCTGCCCAGGACATAGCCGCCGGACGCCAAGGCCTCGGGTTGATGGCTGTGGAAAAGACCAACTGAGGAGATGCTACCCTTAAACAGAAAAGTTTGGTAAACGGAGGTTCCATCCCTGAATATCAAACCGAGATTGGTAGGACATCGGTGATGCCGATTGCCGGCAGTTCTTCTTGACACCTTGAGTTCGAGACAAGATTGATCAAGTTCACTTACGAACATTGAGGAACCAAGGTCCCAGAACAACTCCCGGGACCTTAGCTCCTTTTCCCCGTCTGACCTCTCTCCGTTGTCTCGCTCCACGGTCGACCGCAGCGCAGCGCACGAGACCTCTCGCCTGTGCGGTGTTCATGAAGGCCGCCAGGCGCTCCAGGCGATCCTGTGTGCCGTTCCTCAGTGTCCGTCGGGCGGATCGGCGGCGGGCATCGGGATCGGCGGCCATCCATGCGGCGGTTCGAGGGCGGGGGGGGGGGGGTTGGGGCAGGTCAACGCACACGGGGGGACTGGTTGGCTGGGTAGTGGAGGGTAGTTCGGGCTCCAAAAAGGCTCGGAGTGGTCCAACTCCGAGCTGTTGAGTGGAAGGTAGTTCTCGTTTGCGGAGTTGGAGACTCTAGAGTCCCAGCATGCGAAGAAGAATGCCCAGGATCTGCAAATGTCCGCAGATTTCCACACTGGGCTTGGGGAGTGTCCCAATCTTTTCGACCTATCCACATCGCCTCAAGCGGGGCGCCAGATTTCTGACCACGAGGAGATCAAGGCGGTGGAAAGGATGATGAAGAGGCAGGGTCTGTGGCCAAGCTGATGAATGATGCAAGCAACATTCAAACGCTACTGTACCAACTGCTCAAACATGTTGTGAATGGGAGAGGTTTATACATGTTGGCAAGTTCATCCCCCCCTCGGACCATGCAAGGAGCTTATAGCAGCTTGCTCCAAGTTTCATCCGGCTGAGCCCTTGCAAGGCGTTGTTCCTGCTTTGTGCGATGCATTTGAGGCTTGGAAGCCAGGGTTTCCACACCAACTCTCCAGCTTTGCCTCACTGCCAAGGTCCGTCTTACCAGATGCTGATGAAGAGGTGTCTAACATCTTCCCATATCTTCCCAACACAGCCAGATGCCTACAAGCCCTGTTTTGAAGGTGACCACTCTCAATAGGTTGATGGCGTTCAGCTATTGAAGCTCCGGAGCTCAACCTTCGGCTTGTCCGCTGGCCCGGCCCGGGCTTCCCGGCTGCTTCCGCACCTGTCAGTTCCAGAAAGAGATGACATGAGCTCCGAAATGGATGAGTGAGCTCCGATTCTGAGGAGCTCACCTTTCAAAGGACTCACTTAGCCTGGTCGAACCGTCTAACCCATCCTCTTCCCCACAGAGGTGACCCTCGACACGGAGCTGCTCTTTTTGGTCACACGTGTGGCATTCGTCGACGGGTCTGAAGACCGGGTGCCTCACAAAAGATGTGCTTCAGCTCGCTTTGGTTAACTTTGGTTCAAACCAATTCGTGTGGATCAAAGAAATCAAACCAACAGCCTCTCGCGCAAGAACCCAAACCAACACGCTCCCTGCTGGGTGTCCAGGCCCAATCAAAGCCTCCAGGCCCTGTTGGAGGCCCCCGCGAGGCAATTTGGCCTGCAAACAACGCTCCAACAATGGCCAGGTCCACAGCGGCGTGTGTGCTTCCCTCCATACATTCACAGAACCACCTTTTTGGTGAATCGGTGAATGGCTGAGATCTTAGAAGAATCCTTCCATGACTGTGAATCCACCTGAAGAAAGAACTATTTCATCCGGCACCAGATGGCCACCCTGCCAAATGGATCGGTTTGGCCCAAAACAGGTGGCCATGAGTGGCATCGTCGAGGACACTCGTCGTTTCCCGGCCATGTTTCTTCAGCAGAACCCCCCCGGCTTCAAGCAAATCTCGTGTAGATCGTCCTTAGATTGTCTAGAATAATTAATGTCTTCCAACAACAAGGAAGGACATATGGACATGTTCTCTTGATGAGTGATTCAATTTGTGAGAATGAAAGCAAATCTCTTGTATAATTATGGATTTCATTCGCCACTTGTGGCATTTCTTCACCACATTCTCGCCTCGTTGGGCGAGCTTCAAAGGCCCTGGGGCCTTGGCATTGGAAGCAAACATGAGGAGTGCCAAGACGGGTGAAATAGGTTGAAGCATAGTGGACCCTATGGGGTACAGGTGGGATAGGATAACAGGATTGGCCATAGAGTCGTAAGAAACCTCAACCCTCCAATTGACACTTCCTAATCTAGGCCATCTGAAAGGAGCTATGTAGCAGCTGTGCGCCGAAAACTGAACCGGGGAGCTTGGGGAGCTTTCTGTAATTTCATGGATCCAGGAGCAGCAATGGCCCGGTGCAACCAAAGCCGTGAGCGTTTTAACCTTCAAAGCGCCGTCCGGAGCGCCGGAACCCGCTTTTAACGGCCACAACGGGGTGGATGAACCCCCGCCACCGCCGCGGGGGGCACCCTGCGGCATCGCTGGGCGTCCGGACCACTTTGGAATCCAAGGCGCTCTGGTAGACAGTGACTTCCCGGCTCTGGAACACACAAACCTCATCACAGCGAGGTTGGTCACTTCTTTTTCGGTGGCAGGAGCTCCACCAAGCTTCGGTAGACCTTCAACTGGAACTTGGTGGATTTTGTCATTTGGTCCACACATGTAGAGGGTTTCTTCCGGGTTAGCACACGCAGGGAGTACTGTCTGACTGGACTAAATGACGGACGAACTTGCATGGCTTGAGTGAGATCCTTGAAACGTTGAGTTCTACTCTTTGTGGACTGTGGCTGGCAAAATGCCAGATTCTTTTAACATCATGCCGACATTGCACCATCTTTAATTTGGGCGGCTCTACCTAGCCCCCTTATTTCCGAATGCATGGCGCAAGTCCAAGACCATTCAATTTAGCGACACGGGAGCTCTTCGAATGGGAGAGTGGAAGAGAGAGTGAGAGAGAGAGAGAGAGCGAGCTACAAAAAGTGGGAGTAAAGAAATCAAATGGATTCATGCGCACTCTCTCACTCTCTCTCCCCCTCTCTCTCCCCCTCTCTCTCCCCCTCTCTCTCCC